CGATTGATGAAAATAACAATCGACAATATACTGAAACTCTAAATATAAAAATGATACCAAGGTTGGATGAAACATACAACTTTACTCTACCAAATTCTATCTAATAGTGACCAAGGTGATTTTACAAACAACTCCAAGAAACCTTCGGGTCAAAGGTGAAAATGAAACACCAGTGAGCAGGTTGAGTGAACTCTAACTCACTGTATACCTTTAAGAAGAGTGTATAGAAAAGAACAGTTTAAAGATGCAGTGATGTGTAACATATTATCTAAGAGTAAATTAGAATTGTGACCATATTAAAATGTCCATACAATAAATAAAATTACTTTACTACATACTCCCTCCCTTTGGGAAAATGTTGTCCCTAACATTTAAAACCACACGAACTATAATCTAGTAAAACACATCCGGAAACAGACTCTTACACAGAGATGGTAACGAACTTAAAACAATTTGTAAACGATCAGGTGATAAGCTCATGAAATCAGATGGTAGTAGAGACTTCGCCAACTCTGCTCGGAACTGTGGAGTAGAAGCTACTGGGTGTTGCGGAGACATGACGTAGTCGGTATACCGGGCTGGTTGTCTTCTCTCTCTCCCCGATCTTCTGGGAGTAGGATCTTCTGGCAAGTGTGATTCCTCTGATGTCTCTGAATCTGAGACTGATGCTTCAGGCCTAACTGCATCATCTTGATGTGAAATATCAAGCTCAGGTTCTACTACATCCCCTATGACCTGTGACTCTGCTGGCTGGGTGCAGGAAATCTGCACTTTCCACCAGATACACAAGCTCATCTTCTTGGGTTTTTTTTTACTGAATATTAAATAAACTGTTGTGAAACTGAACCCTTGTGTGGTCGTTTTATAGATAATTTGACCCCCTACAACAATAGCCATGCAGAAAATAGATCTTGGCAGTTGAAATTTGAACTATTGGCTAAATATTCCTCATATTCTATCTTTATCAACCCAGTCGGAGCAGAACAGTGTGACCTGAACACCATTTCAATCTTGAAGAGTTCACATAGGGACTTACCCTTCAAGGGCGACCGGGGGGGGTTTGATGGCTGAATGGTTAGCGTGCGTGCGCTGTATCATAAAGTCTGTCATTGAGTCAACTGGCGTGGTTTCGAATCCCCGGTTGTACGTAACAAGGAGTAGGGTCACCTGTCCAACATCGTGGGTTTTCTCCGGGTCCTCCGGTTTCCTCCCACTCCTAAAGACCCATATGCGCAAGCAAATTATTGAAATAAAATTAAACCATTTGTTAGTCCCAAAATGACCTAGTTTGTGTCAAGTGGACGTTAAACCCCATTTCTCTCTCTCTCTTTCAAGGGCAACCATAATTTGGCAACAGCAATATAACACGACCATAAATACATGTATTTCTACCTTGTAATTTTCAAACTATTTATGAACTGAAACACATTGAGAATTGGATATCGTAACTAAAGGTTGTAGAGCCACTGTCTAGACAAGAGTTCCATCATATCACACTCTGTAGTGTAATGAAATGAAATGGGGTTTAACGTCCTATTGTTTTGCTCCGAACTGGGCTAATGAAGACCGGCATACACCATGCAGTGTGCTATGAGGGAAATTTTGCCCGGACAGCGGCACTACGGCCTACTCTTATATCGAATTCCAAGTGTCAAGGGATCTTTTACGTGCACGCCAATGTGTACACGGGACCTCGGTTTTCCATCTCATCCGAATGACTAGACAGCTGCACTTGTAAGGCCCTCCGTCCTGCATCACTGACAAGGGGGAACCACGCCCGAAAATATGGGTGAACTTTCTCGGCCAATGCAGGGATCAAACACCCGACCTCCAGGCTAGGGAGCCAGCGTCTTACCCACTCAGCCACTTTGACCTCTTTGTGGTGTAAACCAGTCTCCATTAGTCAAATGGGAACAGAACAGCAGGTCGTCAAACCTGTATCAAAGGAACTTTTTTTTTTAAATTTATGAATTCTCGTTTGTACCATTAGATGAATGCTCTGTGGAAATGGTTGGCTCCTTTAAAACTTTAAAGCTATATTACCCCAGCTCCTTTAAATTTATATTATCTTGGCTCCTTTAAAGCTAAATTACCCCAGCTCCTTTAAATTTATATTATCTTGGCTTCTTTAAAACTTTAATGCTATATTACCCCGGCTCTTTTAACACCATGGGGAACTACTGTGGCTAAGTGGGCAAGACGCTGGCTCGCTAGTCTGGAGGTCTGGTGTTCAATCCATACATTTGCTGAGAAAGTTGACAAGGAATTTCCGTCATGGTGTCCCCTTGTCAGTGATGCAGGACGGGGGGCCTGACAAGGACAGTTGTCTAGTCGTTCGGGACGAAAAACTGAGGTCCTGTGTACACATTGGCGTGCATGTTAAAGATCACTTGGCAATTCAATGTAAGAGTAAGCCATAGTGCCGCTGCCTGGGCAAAATTTCCCTCATCGCATGCTGTGGGACGTATGCCAGTCTTCATTAGCCCAGTCGGAGCAGAACAGTAGGACGTTAAACCCCATTTCCTTTAACCCTCTAAAGCCATATGACCCCTGCTCCTTGAAAGCTGTATTATCCGAGCTCCTTAAAAACTTACACGTGTGATTTTAATTACAGTAGAATCTATATGAGCAGCCACTCTTATTTTTTTTTTAAACAATATTTTTATTCATTAAATCTGAATTTGGATTGGGGAACAGGCTATGCCTATGTGTAACCCCTCTCTCTGAGTTAGATACATGTACACATTATAAATATTTACATACATACATACATACATACATAATTACATAAATATAGTGCATATATGATACATCATGGATAATATAGAGACTTAGATGATTATACAGAGTGCAGGGATAGAGAATTCAAGCACTTCAATAATAAATTCACGCATAGCAAAAAAAAAAAAAAAAAAAAAATTTTCAAAAATCAGAATAAAAATCAGTTAATGCTTACATTGTATCTGATAAGATTGTTGGGCATCAAGAGATAAAAGTTTCATGCAATGAAAGGTGACCTCGAAAACATATCCGCTACATCTCCTTGTGTAAGCGGCCACGATAAATTCCCCCCGTAAAAATTCTGTTGTTTCATCTCTTTAATCAACGGTCACTATTTTACTAATAAATTTAACAAAACATCACTCATTCAACGGCCACTGTTGACTGATACCATCTTGCTGTTCTTCGTAACACCTCCGCTAATCCCGTGATTAATAGTTAATTAACTGGCCCCCCACTGATCAGGTAAAAAGATAGGTTGCCAGGCAATGAAATATATGCCCACAATAGCTAAATCGTCCCGGCAGTCAACAAGAGTTGTTGCATATTTTTACTTTTTTCGGTAATGAAACATTTATAATACACTCATGAAGTAATTATCAGAAAACCATTAGAATTTGTTTGTTTTTATAAAGTTCTGCCCCATGCTAACGTTTTGTATACAAAACTTTAAATATCACGGATTTAGCTGTTCAAGACATAAAAATTGATTGAAAATCAATATACTTGTTCGTCTCAAGATCTTAAACTCTGTGTATCAATCTGAAGTCAATCAGATGATAACTTTAGCCTTTAGAGCGTCACAAAGTGATCAAGGGCCATAACTTTGGCAGTAATTATCGGAAATCATTGAAAATCAATAGGCTTCTTCGTCTCATGACCTTAAACACTGTGTATAAATTTTAAGTCAATCGATATTAACTTGGGCCTCTAGAGCATCCACAAGATTTTTCAAAGTGATCAAGTGCCATAACTCTGGCAGTAATAATCAGAAATCGATGAAAATCAATAGGCTTCTTTGTCTCATGACCTTAAACACTGTGTATAAATTTAAAGTCAATCGGATATTAACTTTGGACGGACTGACGGACGGACCGACGGGGGCGACGACAATATACGACCACATTTCAATGTGGAATTCTTCACAGAATAGTTAATTTCAGTCCCTATACAAATTACCCAGATGAAAACAATTATAATGGTTGATTTAGTTTGAGCAGCCATTTTGAACAGAACTGTCAAAGTTTGCGGGGAAAGAAGTTTAAGGTTCGTTTCGCGCATGCACAGTAATCCGCACTGAAACCATGCTCAGACCCAAAAGCGTTTACACTAAGAAAATTTAACCGTGCTGTGTCTGAGACCACCTCATTTCAGTGGGCCAGATTGGCACGGTACTCAGTACAGCATGCTTATCTTTGACCCGTTTACACTACAAAAAAATTAACGAGAAAGCGGTGAAGTCATCATCGTTCTCGGAAGATGTGACACACTTCCAGAATCTGCATTTGTGACAGAACACGATGGTCCTGAAAATTGAATAGAGCAAAAAGTGTCGATTCATTTTATCATTTTGCTTTTATTCGACCAGTCAAACAAAGGCTGGTATATTTGAAAGGGATGTGTTTTGGAATAATTATGAAAAAGATTGTCTACAATAGAATTAAACTACCACGGAGGGTCCAAGACGTTCTTACGAGCGAGTTCTTCTACTGTCGTGGAGGAAGCCCACGAGAACTGATGATGTACCATGCAAAAAGAGAATGACCTATTTCTCGGAACTCATTTAAACATCACATTTATAAGGTCTTTTACGGGTATGAGTTCTTATGCGTCTTCGGAGACAAGTGGGAGGTTGGATGGTCGAATGGTTAGCATGTGTGTGCTGTATCATAAAGTCTGTCATTGAGTCAACTGGCGTGGTTTCAAATCCCCGGTTGTACGTGACAAGGAGTAGGGTTGCCTGTCCAACCTCGTGGGTTTTCTCTGGGTCCTCCGGTTTCCTCCCACTGCTAATGACCCCTACGTGCAAGCGAATTATTGAAATAAAATTAAACCATACGTTAGTCTCGAAATGACTTAGTTTGTGTCGAATGGACATTAAACCCCATTTCTCTCTCTCTCTCTCTATAAGGTTTTTTTCTCCAGTCTGAATTTGCATGTGTTCTCAAATGTTGTTGCAGATTACTAGTATCAGTAAATGATTTACCACAAACATCACATTTAAAAGGTTTTCCACCAGTATGAATTCTCGCGTGTCCTTGTAAGTTATAAGCTCTAGGAAATGATTTACTACAAACATCACATTTATAAGTTTTTTTCACCTGTATGTGTCCTGACATGTTGTTGTAGATTACTACTTGCAGTAAATGATTTACCACAAACATCACACTTAAAAGGTTTTTCACCTGTATGAATTCTCAGGTGTATTTGTAGATTACTTCTTTGATTAAATGATTTACTACAAACATCACACTTATAAGGTCTTTCACCTGTATGCGTTCTCATGTGTCTCTGTTGATTAGTACTAAAGGTGAAGGATTGACTACAAACACCACATTTAAATGGCTTCTCACCTGTATGTATTCTCATGTGTCCTTGTAAATTATAAGCTCTAGAAAATGATTTACTACACATACCACATGTATAGGGTCTTTCTTCCGTATGTGTTGTCATGTGCGAGTGTAGATAAGCATTACTACTAAATGATTCACTACAAACATCACATTTATTATAAGGTTTATCTCCAATATGTATTCTCATGTGTTGCTGTAGACTAATATACTCACTAAATGATTTACTACAAACATCACATTTATAAGGTGTTTCACGTGTATGGGTTCTCATGTGTGACTGTAGATGACCATTCTGGCTAAATGATTTACTACAAACATCACATTCAATAGGTTTTTTACCAGTGTGAATTCTCATGTGTTTCTGTTGATTACCACTACTGGTAAATGATTTACCACAAACATCACATCTATAAGGTTTTTCACCAGTATGAACTCTCATGTGTCTCTTAAGATCACCATTTAAAGTAAATGATTTACTACAAACATCACACTGGTAAGGTCGTTCTCCCGTTTGCCCTTGACTAACATGTATATCACAGTGTTTTTCTAAATCAATGTCAGATTTAAATTCTTCATCACACAAATTACACTGATAAACAGTTTCAATATCATCAGTTTTCTCTTCTTTAACATGACAATATTCATCTACATCATCAGTTTTATCTTCTTTAACATGACAATATTCATCTACATCATCAGTTTTCTCTTTTTTAATATGTATTTTATTGTGTTGTTCTAAATCATCAAGTTGTTGAAAAATCTCATCACACACAACACACTGGTGAAATGTTTTAACATCATTAGTTTCCTGTAATATATAAAAGTTATAACATCATTAGTTTCCTGTAATATATAAAAGTTATAACATAATTAGTTTTCTGTAATATATAAAAGTTATAACATCATTAGTTTCCTGTAATATATAAAAGTTATAACATCATTAGTATCCTGTAATATATAAAAATTATAACATCATATAACCAAATTTGTATTTAGTAATATTTACAGTGTCCCTTTAAGTGATTAGTAGGCCTACATGTGACAGTGTGTGGTCATTGGTCATGTGATCATACTTTCCCGGAAACAAGAGAAAATGTGGTACTTTCTTGTCAAATCAGGGGAGAAAGAGAGAGAGAAATGGGGTTTAACGTCCACTCGGCACAAACTAGGTCATTTCGGGACTAACATATTTCAATAATTTGCTTGCGCGTAGGGGTCTTTAGCAGTGGGAGGAACCGGAGGACCCAGAGAAAACCCACGAGGTTGGACATTCGGCCACCCCTCCACCCAATCAGGGGAGAAAGAAGGGATACATGGACCTATAAATATTTTATGTAAAAGTTGATGAAATATCATATTAATGTAATGTGTGCTAAACGGCTTGGCAGACGCCATTGAAATCTAAATATTGGGTAATGCACAAATTTACGTAACTCGACCATACAAGACTAAAAAAAATTTAAGTAAACTAGGGGAAAAAAAATTGGAATCTTTGAATCTTCAGTCATTTATTGCTTTGCCTTGCCCAATTACAATCGGATTTTTTCGAACTACTTCGATAGTAACAGTAATACTCGCCATTATTTTGTTTGTAAAGTTCTGCTACAGTAAATGGTCTGTTGTCTGGTAAGCTGTTCTTTGGTGAGATTCAAAACCTGCCTCAACAAATAACGGAATGTAACGAAGAGATTCAAAACCTCAACACGTGCACGTGCTAACCATTCGACCATCCAACCCCCCAGATTGTGTTGGATTTAGTTTCTCAAAAGGTGTTTCAGAGTAATTAATTTGTCTGCTCCCTCACCTTTCCAATTTCGTGGGGTTTCTCCGGGTCCTCTGGTTTCCTCCCACTGCTAAAGACCCCTATATGCGCAAGCGAATTATTGAAATAAAATTAAACCATATATGTTTGTCCCGAAATGACCTAGTTTGTGTCGAGTGGACGTTAAAACCCATTTCTCTCTCTTGTCTGCTCCCGTGACATTGACGGCATCTTGCTTCGGTAGTAGGCTTAGTAAAACTACTCACCATTATTTTGTTTGTAAATTTCTGCTACAGTAAACGGTCGGTTGCCTGGTAAACTGTCCTTTGTCAGGTTCAATATCTGCTTAATATAAGGGAAAATAACAGACGAAAACGTGTCATTTCCGGTAAAGTACGGTATGGGTTGTATAATGAATATAGCCCTGGATCTATCCAACGCGAACAACTCATCACCTTAGATCCCTTAAAGCTTTAAAGCTATATTACCATTACTACTTTAAAGCGATGTTACCATAGACACTTTACAGCTATTTTACCATAGCTACTTTAAAGCGATAATTTCATATTTTTAAGTTATATTTTTAAAATGTATTAAAATAAAGCCTTAAAATAGATGGTATCTATAAACAGTCCTACCTTAAAGAATAATCCTATTAATCCTATAATTCACCATTGCCAGTTGAGTAATTGGCAAAAATATCATTTTCAAATTCAAATTCAAATGTTTGAAGATAGCTATTCCTTGAGGGGAATAGAAAAACAAGGGCTTGGGTCAATGAAATGAAATGAAATGGGGTTTAACGTCCTACTTTTCTGCTCCTAAACTATAATTCCATAAGGATGTGTTATAGTTTATAGTAATATAGCTTTAAATGAAATAAATAATGAAGTTTTAAAGAATCTATGGTACAATAGCTTTAAATGAAATAAATAATGTAGTTTTAAAGAATCTATAGGAATATAGCTTTAAATGAAATAAATAATGTAGTTTTAAAGAATCTATGGTAATATAGCTTTAAATGAAATAAATAATGTAGTTTTAAAGAATCTATGGTAATATAGCTTTAAATGAAATAAATAATGAAGCTTTAAAGAATCTATAGTAATATAGCTTTAAATGAAATAAATAATCTAGCTTTAAAGAATCTATAGTAATATAGCTTTAAATGAAATAAATAATCTAGCTTTAAAGAATCTATAGTAATATAGCTTTAAATGAAATAAATAATCTAGCTTTAAAGAATCTATAGTAATATAGCTTTAAATGAAATAAATAATGTAGTTTTAAAGAATCTATAGTAATATAGCTTTAAATGAAATAAATAATACAGCTTTAATGAATCTATGGTAAAATAGCTTTAATGAATCTATGGTAATATAGCTTGAAAGGATCTAAGGTAATATAGCTTTAAAGGGTCTAAGGTAATATAGCTTTAAAGGAACTAAAATGATATAACTTTAAAATATGTAGGGTAATATAGCTTTAAAGAATCTAGGGTAATATAGCTTTAAATGAAATAAATAATGAAGCTTTAAAGAATCTAGGGTAATATAGCTTTAAATGAAATAAATAATGAAGCTTTAAAGAATCTAGGGTAATATAGCTTTAAAGAATCTATACCTTTAAATGAAATAAAAAATATAGATCTGAAGTTATTACTTTAAAGTAGTAATGGTAATATAGAATTATGATTAAATTATGCGTTGCGTGGGTCGTTTGTGCGTTGTTCAGGATGGATAGATCCATGACTATATTCATTATACAACCCGTACCATACTCTACCGGAAATGAAATTGGGAAAGAAGAAAGACGAGTTTTCTTCTATTATGTTCCCTGTTATTGAAGCAGATTTTGAATCTCACCAAAGGACAGCTAACCAGACAACCGACCTTTTACTGTAGCCGAACTTTACAAACAAAATAATGATGAGTATTACTGTTACTATTCAAGCCACATGACGTGTAGACGAACTTGCAGGGATGGATGGCCTGACAAGCTTATAGTTTAAACCTTTTATTCACAAAATAATGGTGAGCATTACTCTTACTATCGAAGTAGTTCGAAAAAATTCGATTGTAATTGGGCAAGGCAAAGCAATAAATGACTGAAGATTCAAAGATTCTAATTTTCCCCAGTTTACCTAAATTTCGTTTTGTCTTATTTCGTCGACTTACGTAAATTTGCGTGTTACCCTATATTTAGATTTCAATGGCGCCTGCCAAGCCGTTTAGCAGAAGGGGACTTAAAGGAGCTAAATCGCTAATATTTAGGGCCTAGAAATTGGCACATATAATAATGTAATATGAATTTATATAAACTGTTTTACATTCAATCGTTTCCGTTTTACTGTGAATTGTCATCAGTTATGTTCGGCGAAATATGCCAGAAGTCTCAACCGAAAGACAGTTTCTATAGCGTCTGGTTATTCCAGTCAACACCGATAGTATATATTGTGCATGCTCTCCAAATAAGATTATGGCATCACCGTTTGACATGACTTGTGGAATATGTCTAGCCTCATTCTTTGAGCACATTGTTACAAATGGCGCTGAAACGCATTATGGTACACGATTCGTGTACCAATGGTAAAATGTTTATTTTGTCTTGAATATTGGATATCAGAAGCCCATCTTTTCCAGGTAAGACCACACCACCAATGCTGATTTAAATTGCAAAAAAATTTGCATTTTCAATGTCGAAGATTTTGGATGATATTGAGTTACGGACTTTAATATGATATTTCATCAACTATTTATAGGTCCATGTATCCCCTTTTTCCTCCCCTGATTTGATAAAAAAGTATCAGAAAATTTTAACTTCTTCAATGCACCACGTTTACTCTTGTTTCCGGGAAAGTATGATCACATGACCAATGACCGCACACTATCACATATAGGCCTACTAATCACTTAAAGATACATTCCCGCGTACAAACTGGGTGATTTAATGGTATATATGGACTAAACACATATTCAAACTAATTAATTTGTCATAATTTTGCTTCAAATCCTTCTCAAACATTGTAATTGCGAAGGAATGCCCTGCTATAAAAATTCGATCAATCCAGGTCATGTTTACGTCATGTGACTTACCTCTCTTCGAAGTCAGATGAGAATTCATTGCATACATAAGACGATGTTGTCTTTAATCGCTTACTATTTATTACAAATATCGAATCCTAATTAAATTCTCGGATTATCCACTACCCGCGTCTTTTTCAGAAAGTGTTGTACGTCTAACTCTTCATAAAGTTTATAATCTTGTACATCAAGCGCTCAATGTTCGCGTGTGCCTGTGACATCACGCGTGCAGAAATTCCTAATCGTCAGGCTGTCGATTAGGGAAACCCTTACATTTTTGTCCTGTATACGCTCCATGAGTGTTTTTCGGGGAATCCAGTATTTTTCTAGTTAGATTGGATTTCTCTACTTTCCATATATACCAAAATTGCCATACTTTTATTGGAAATAACCACCCGATAAATACTTTTCTGGGAACCCATCTTTAAAGGGACACTGTAAATATTACTACTAAATACAAATTTGGTTATATGTAGGGGTTTCAGATCACATGATTTTAGCGTGAAATCTGACAGCCAGCGGCTGAAATATAGCCTGCTTAAATCTACAATTCTGAATTACTATTTTATTTAAAGATACATTATGGGAGATAAGATAAAGAGATGGCAGTTCTCGCTATAATAGTTAAAAACTAGACAGTGTAAAGGTAATTTGCTGAAAATTTCAGTCAAATTGATCCACTATGAGCCGAGAAAGAAGCGGGTGAAATTTTTGCATAGTCTCGATTATCCACTTTTATTGATTTAATTATCAATAGCCGTTAGCGGCATATAGGAATCTAATCCAGCCAACATCGAAGGCTAGCCTTGACATCGAGAGTTTATTATGGTCTGGATAAGTTAATTAATGTCTAATTGATAATTTAGATAACATTTTAGGCCTAAAGAAAGACTTGTAATAAGCAGATTTTGCTCTTGCATAATGCATGTTTAAATGTATTACTAGCAACTGTATTGTAATAGTTTAATATCAATCTTGATATCTGCAAAGATTCAGCCTCAAAAATGATCGAAATGTAAGCGAAATTTACCGTTAATGTACAGGAGATGCTTGCGGGAAAATGCCGTCCTGACGTCATGCGGTCGGGGATTTTCAATTGCTACGACTCACTTCATTGGTCAATCCGCATCTTAGTTTCCGGGGGATTTCCACATAGAACCAATCAAACGATAGATGACATTTTTGTGATAATATCATTCAAATTATTATGATTTTAATACATCTTAGCGGACTATAACAATGCTGGTTTGAGTTTTAAAATTGGTACTAGCGATTCTGAATGGAAATTACTGCTTATGACGTCAGTCAGATATGGTGATATGCCATGCATTGACTGGTATAAAGCATTTTGATTACATTATTGATGTTGATCTCGGATTTTAAAATTCTATAACTTTGGATCTAATTAGAATAGTGTGATGAAATAAAAAATTTTGGGTAGCATTTTATGTATATTTTCACGAAATATTTAAAAAAAAAATTTTTCTGTCATTTAAAACTTTGACCTGAAACGCCTATTATATGATGTTATAACAGGACACTAATGATGTTATAACTTTTATATTATAACTTTTATATATTACAGGCAACTAATGATGTTATAACTTTTATATATTACAGGCAACTAATGATGTTATAACTTTTATATATTACAGGCAACTAATGATGCTATAACTTTTATATATTACAGGAAACTAATGATGTTATAACTTTTATATATTACAGGATACTAATGATGTTATAACTTTTACATATTACAGGCAACTAATGATGTTGTAACTTTTATATATTACAGGAAACTAATGATGTTATAACTTTTACATATTACAGGAAACTAATGATGTTGTAACATTTCACCAGTGTGTTGTATGTGATGAGATTTTTCAAAAACATGATGATTTAGAAAAACACAATAAAATCCATATTAAAGAAGAGAAAACTGATGATGTAGATGAATATTGTCTTGTTAAAGAAGAGAAAACTGATGATGTAGATGAATATTGTCTTGTTAAAGAAGAGAAAACTGATGATGTAGATGAATATTGTCATGTTAAAGAAGAGAAAACTGATGATATTGAAACTGTTTATCAGTGTAATTTATGTGATGAAGAATTTAAATTAGAAACTGATTTAGAAAAACACTGTGATATACATGTTAGTCAAGGGCAAACAGGAGAACGTCCTTATAAATGTGATGTTTGCGGTAAATCATTTCCTAACCGTAGCTGTCTACAGAGACATATCAAAATTCATACTG